ATCGCGAATTTTCATAGCCTGGCTCCTTTTCCCGTGTTCTGGTTCTGCGGTACAAGCAACTGCTTAGTCCAGGCCATTCACATATGCTCATGTTGTTCGAAGTCTGTACTCATGTTTGTCAATGCTTTGTGTCCGCGACCAAAGTCTGTCGAAGGTCGGAAGCCGCTTCGCGGCCCTTTAAGCTCTTGCGTCACAGCAGTCCGCTGTTACTTCGGTATCTGTTAGCCGGACCTCCGTTGTCCGTGGGGGTTGGGCCCGATAGCGTGTATTTCGCACCCTAGCCTGCTTAATCCGGTCCATCGCGCTTGTCCCCGGTCAAGCGTCATGTCTGTAACAACCATTCCCTATCAATATCATCAAAATCATCCCTTTTAATCTCTTCGGGCCTTCAGCCTATTTCATGACATCTCTTTCTTTATTCTTTATCCTTTACCTTCATTTACGAAAAAAAGTGTGACGTAGTGAATTGATACGTTTGAATAAGTGCGTCGCGAAGACATTATCTAAAGTTCGCGGAAATTCGCGTATTGGTCTATTCGTAACAAGTGAAGAATTAGTTCGCAACCGAAAATACAGGAAGTGCAAAATAGTGGTCAAGGCTGGAATCGTCAAGTCGTCCCCAAAATGGACCTCGAGTATCGAAAGATGTACTGGACCAATGAACAATACAAATGCACAAGAGATAAGCAGACGAGGATCCTGGGGTAAGTGATCTTTTTCTTTTTTCTTTTCTTTTCCAACTCACCATAAACATTTATGTAAGCGGCTATGCTGAAAGCCATAAATTTGCTATACTCAGCGGATATCGGAAGTATAGCATAGATCTGATTAATATAATTGATCTCTCGTATAATTTCTTATGGCGTTCTCGATTGCCAACATTTTTCTTGCGCCGAGTGTAACCTTTAGCCTGGTACTTTTCCGATTGGCGAATTATACTATAATCACCAATCGTAATGTGCTACAGAGTCCCACTTGCACGGAGCACACCAGTTGCAAGAAAAGTCTACCAATCGGAAAAGCTATTAAAGCTGACAACTTACCACTAACTCAGCAAAGACTGAACACAGTTGATCCACGTTGACGAAGTAACAGCTGCTTCAGCTCATAGATGGCAGCATTTTCGATGGTACGTCGGTATGTCAGATTTCCTGAGCGTAACCCAACCGACGCATAGTCTATTTATTTTCCGTCTACGGAAGCACCGAGGCTTACGGCACACTAAACCTGACAACGTGCCTAGTCTACATAACTTCGGTCAGTGTTGACAATAATGACTATTGCGTGATTTATTCGATGATGAGTATAACAAAAAAATCGTCTAGATTTCAAGGTATTTATTTAATGGCGATTATAGTATAAGATAATATGAAACATCGCTAACATTAAAAAAAAAAAAAATAGAAACGGGAGAAGAAAAATATCTTCATTTCCGCAGACACGTAATTGCCGTCGTCGCGCAATAACGTAATTCATAAAATTCTCTATTTATTCTTCGCGGCCGTTATATAATTGGACGACCCCTAGAGCTATATTACTTATATACAAATACTGTAGGTTAAAATATCTACAATCAGGTATTCTGCACAACGAGCAGATATACCTACTGGATATGTGTCCTTGGATAATAACAAAGAATATTCATTAAATAAGGTCGATCTATTATACCTCACGCACGTATTCTTTCTTTCGGTCGAAGGAAAAGAACAAAAAAATTTGACACATGCGAAAGAAAGAAAACGACTAAAGGCTACGTCATGAATGATAATCGTGTTCAACATAATCAGCATACTCTCACGAAATATTTTCAATTTTCTCGGAGTGCGAGCGTTCAAGTGTTTGAGAATAAAAAAAAAAGTATTACATCACTTTCTCCAATTGATTGCCAAATCTCGTGTGTCACTTTCGAAAATATGAGATTCCCAACCTCGAAATAGCAAAAACGAGTTGTCGCGCGATATTCACGGTCACTTATGAAACATCGTTAAATTTTATAAAATTCTTCGATTTCCTTCCCCATGGCGAGAGACGTCGATAATATTATTATTATACCCTAAAATCATACAATTTTATCTCATTAACGCGTCACTGTAGTTTACGAGGATATCGATTTTGCCTTTCACTATGTCTTTATTTTTTTTTACCGTTTGAAACACGGTCGAGATTCATTTATCACGTAATCTTCGAACTACCTCAACTTTTACACTGTTTTCTCTATTTCTTTCTCATTTCATTTTGCCATACGCGAATGCAACGTCTACTACGACCGGAAGCGAAATACCCGATGAGAATGGCCGAACAAGCCATTCGCCATCAAATTTCGAGTCCTTCGAGAATTGCGACACGATTGACGCTCGTCGGTCATGCGAAACCTAAAAATTATCGTGATGGTTATCTATCCATAGGATTACAATTTTCTTCTCATCTATTCTAAAGGACTACACCCTGACGTATGTCCTTGATGATTCTTTTATAATTTTATAAACCGGTCAGTCACTCTGCAACGTCAGAAGGGACTGACGGTGATCGAGCCATGCGTAATTGGAACGAGAGCATGTTCTGTATAAAAAGAATTGATGACTCCAAGCGGCAGCAATATCAGATAATAAAAAGTTATGATAAATGTTTATGGATGAATTACCTCGCTCCTGTTTCTTCTACACGGGTTCAATGACACGAATGGTTAATGTAATCGTAATCGATGAGCTTATCGTTTTCATTCGGTATTGTGGCACGGAATCTCGACGGCGATAACAAGAACAAAGAAAAAGACACGAGACGAGCAAATCACGAACAGAAAGCGGAAACTGAGTCCCCAAATAAATATGGCAAAGAACTTGAACGATTGGCAAATATTACGCGTGACAATATTTACAAAGGAAATCCTAGACTCGCAATAATTATCATTAATTCCCACTAAGATTTTTCTTTTTTTCTCTCGCTTTTCTCTTTTTATCCTGTTCACCTCGCGTTCCTAGGTGTTTTCATACGCACGGAGAATAATAAAGGAGTAATTAAAAAGTAGTAATATATATCACAAAGTAATATCTCGACGTCATAAGACGCATACATGTCTCTCACTGATAGGTTATCATCCCATCCTCTCTCTCTCTCTCTCTCTCTCTCTCTCTAATTCGCGTGTACGCACATACATATGTAATTCAACTCGATAGAATCAATATTATCCATAAAACATGCAGGTATCGATATACCGGTTGAAAAGATGAATTCGTAGCCGCATCGCGTGGCCCATTGTCATCAGACTGAATAGTAGCGGCGCTCAAGTAGAACAATGAAAGATCCAGAACCAACTGCGGGATGAGCCTCAAAAGCGCTAACCACGTCATCGCCGACGTTTTCGCATGCGGCCATGAACGTATTCGTTACGTATGCATAAAGTCTTGATATAAATTACGAATATATTTGTATTTACAATGACGCCTCGCGTCAGATATTGTTCCCCGATTCGGCATAGTAGTAGCAATAATAGTAGCATGAGTAGTAGTAGTAGTATACACATATTTTCACAATGTACAAAAAATCACATGAGACGGACGGAAGAATCGGCAGTTATGGGATAAATTAGTCCCAGCCGAATCTGTCGAAACGATAATTCACAAAAAAAAAAAAAACATTCTAAATTAGCGACTCGCATCAGACGTACACCTCGCCACGTTTTCCAGTAGCTGGTCCAGCATTTCCGGAATTCGTTGTGGAACCGGTGCTTGTTTTTCGTAGCGGATCAGGCGGTGGTTTAGGTGGATCGCGACTGCAGCTACCGGTCCTGTGCCGTATTTCCGGTTGAACCGATAAGACTCTATCTATTCCCGGACTTCCGTATCGTCCTGGTACGGACGTCGTCCGGTTCTCACGATGCTGAAGTCCTGGCGAATGGGGCAAGGACATGCTGCGATCTTCTCTGGGTTGAGGAACCGGTGGTCCTGGCAAGGATGCTGAGCGTCGACCGCGTCCGTCGACGACATGGCTCGGCGCTGTCGTTACTATGTAACCACTGAGCTTCTCCGGACTCATAAGAATCGGAGAGCAATCCGTGTAACTATCGAACGTTGGAGAACTACCATGACTTCCCATGGGACTGATACGTTCTCCAATCAATGGAGTGGAACGATCTTCCTGACCAGTGATGCTGCCACTCCTACTGCTACCGGAACCTTCCTCTTCGCTGGTATTCACTTCCGTCAGCGTCGCTTGTAGATTTGGCTGCACGTTGACGCGTGACATGGACGCTGAGGTCGTAACCAGACCCAACTGTGCCAAATTCATAGTCACCGGTGTCAATGTCACCGGAGTAACCAGACCAGCGCTAGTCAGGGTCGGGGACAGGACAGCCTGCGCCAGAGCAGCTGTTCCAGCTTTTCCTGAAGATGGCGTTCCCTCAGTTTCCTGGATAGGTGACAGAACCACCTGGACCACCGGAAGATCAGCTGGATACTGACCGTTAGCCGGTATAACCCCAACTACTCCAGCTCCGATATTAGCAGCGTTATTAGCAGACATTGCTAGACGCTGCTCCCTGTCCACGACCTCCTTGGTGACATCAGGCGTCGGGATCCTGGGTCTATTCTTCAAGGAGACTGGTACCGAGTTCAGCTTTGTCATCGTGCCTGAACACAAAGAAGAGAAACGGAAGGTAACAAGAGAAAAGTAAAGAGCGGGTTAGGTCTAGCGCAGCGCTTCGTTCCTGCGCACAAAGTGAAACCGCCTGTGACTAAAACCCATGCAGAATTGATCTAGTTTCTCTTTACTGGACAGAGTGACGTTCGCGCTTTTCTCACAACGCGCCGCTCAGCTCCACACTTAGATACGAGCAGTTGGACTCACTTTGCCGACCAAGACGCTGACTGCGAATGCTCTTGCGACCGACCAGACGGTCGTACAGCGACATTTTTGGATTGAGATTATTGGTTTGAGGCAGACCCCCCGTTTCCGGACTGCTGTAGACGCTGTTGTGACGGTTCCTTGAAAAAAATCCTCCGCCCGTGCTGTAAGTCGTAGAGGAGCTACGAACCGATCCCATTCTCGTTATTTGACGCTGGAGCCAATTCTTCCTACGTTCTACCAGAGGAGTGTCAACGCTTTCCTGATAAAATAACGGACGTACGTCAGAATGAGTTATCCTTGCACTATGAGATACAAGCTCTGATATACTTACGTAATCGGCGTACATGTCGTCCTGGTGTGTTTTGCGGTGCTGACTGTGATTGTGCACCTGTGTACCGAGCATAACGTTCGCGTAGAGAGCATCGCTGTCCTTGACCTTGTAATGCTCGGCCGAACCCTTGGGTTCTTCTCTCCTGTACTGTTCACTAGCTACTGTATATGGCAGATCCTTAGGGACCACGTCATCCCAATATTGATCCTTCAGGAGTTCAGGATGCTCCTCGTGCATCTCGTCCACTATCATGTACCCAGCCTAATAATAAAATATAATTAACTTCCGACGATTCCAAATCGATCTGTTTACTTTTGTCACTTGGCAAACCTTGATATGACGGTCGATCAACCAATTGAGCTCGATATCGTCGTCGTCTTCGCCAAAAGGATTGATAAGTACTTCGGCAACCTTCAGCCAGCCAACATAAAAGCAAAACTGCAAAAAAAAGGTAAGTTCTGCGTCAGTCTTGTTAAACGATTTGAAAAAATGAATAAAACAAATATACAGCATACAAGTATACCACGAAACATACCTGAAGTGCAGTGAAGAACGGAAAGTACATGTCTGGTTCCTCGTACTTTCCACTTCCGGTCTCTTGTCGATCAATGAATTGTCGTCCAAGAAGCGCCGCGAAGAAGTACGCGTACAAGGAAAGTGTAACGACCTAAAAAAAAAAAAAAAAAAAAATTAATTCAAAAATCAATTCCATTAAAATTTCAAAGGATTCCAAAAAATTCGACTGTAACATACATCATACGTATTACTTTCTAATGTACGCCGAACAAGAAGTAGTACATTGAAAATCAACCTTGCAGTCAGCCATAAGGTCCTCGGACTTTAAAGACGGCAAGGCTTTTCGTCCCTTGACTTTGGTACGAAATTAATTCCCAAGTAATCGTGACGCGTAGGTAGCCCGACGAACCGCGCAGTTCTCAATTCGCGATTCGATTATAAAGTTCTCGGAACGTAGAGTCGTTCGGCATTGTTCCCGCGTTCGGGACACGCACACCTGCACACCTGTGTACGCGGCATCGATCGCTCGCTGAAACAATCGCGCGATATCGCCACGAGCCACGATTCAAGCGTACTCCGCGTATGGCATAGTTTTCATGAAAATAACATTAAGCCCGTGAAAGACACGTAGCGCCGATTCTAACTTCGTGGGATACTTCGGAAAGCGACCCCTACACCCGAAGCCTTGCACTCGCGCATATAGGGGATCGTCCCGTGAGAACCGCAAGAAACAACAGTGGCTGAGGACTATTGAGAGGAATTCACAATGAGCGACGGAATAATGGATATCCGTGTGTACGAAGTCTGAGGATTTGTTAAAAAATTTCCTCCGCGACCTCCAGCAACGTACCACCTTGATACCGAACGACGGGAACAACACGTAGGCGCGTACGCAAACGCACTTCCTGCGTACGAAGAGGAGTCACGTATCGTGTCGGTACACCGTGGGCCGATCTCAAGTTAGGTAATGGCGCATGCATGGGTTATCGAGAAAACGTGTTGGAACGCTCGCAACGATCTACGTCCCTGACACTGTAATGCATATGACGGCTTTATAGACGTACTTCCAGGTGCTACGTCACACTGAAGAGACACCTCGCTCGTATTGTGATATCGGGTGTCGTCCTGGATCCAGTGACTATCTACGATCGCCAGGACCGTGTCTGAGAAGTCTGACGGGCAATGAGTTCCAGTAACGAGGTTGTCTCCCGAGTGTGTATCAAGGTTCGCGACTCCACCTTTCCTATCGAAGGTCACCAGGAAACGGTAGTTTATGCTAAATCGTTCTCGTTACGTAAATACGTTTGTCGCTGGTGCAAAGTCTTCGGCTGGTTCGATCGGCCTCCGATCTTATTTCCAACGACTGCCGATCGACGATCGGTGAACGAGCCGATCGAACGGCTGACGATCCGCGGATGAAGTCGACGCTGATGATCAGGATGATTGATTTTAATTGATCCTTTAGTTCAAATACGGTCCTGGCCTGTGGACACTCTTCATGCTGCTCGCGTACCCTAGACCTTGAGCGGTGCCGTTCAGGAATGCCACTATCTATTACTACCGAATACTTGACGGTGCTTCCATTGTGCCGATCGCAACGGTAAAACCCACTTGGATGGAATCAGCCGTCGCGATCCTTTTATCGAGGAAGTATATCTAATGATTTGCTCGATATTTTTCGTTCTTAGTTCATTTTTTTTTTAACCTTCGTTCGTTCAGCCGTGCGATAAACTCGGATACCGAGGGTACAAAGTCTGAGAACAGAGAAACAGATGCGAACCCAACGTATGCGGCACGTGAAAAGTAACAAAGATTCGGTTCTGCGTTCAATTTACCACGTGATTTGCTCCGTTGAAATTGACAACTAGCGTCATTGACATTGAATTTTATTTCAGGCCTGGGACGCAGCCTGTATCTGCGTTTGCCAAGCACCTGAAAGGCATTCTGACTTGGTGTCTTATTTGTTTCCAAGCGAAGTCTTGATGGATCTTACGAATAATTACCCGTGCAATTTTCGAAATCAGTCTTATCGGAAAATTACCAGGGATCGGGGACGCCGTAGGTGTCCGTTTGATATTATGAAAGTAGAAACGCGAGTTGCTCGTAGCTTCTAGCGCCTACATGAGAACGCGCCACGCCACGACGCGTTGGACTTGCAACATTGTACCTTGGGACATTATCAGCCAGGCGTCGACTGCTGCTATCGTCGGGTGCGACAAGCTGGATGTCATCCAGTGACAGGAGTCATAAGAGGGTGCAAAAGGAGACAGAAAGTAAGTCGAAGAGGATCCTGTCAAACCGGAAAAGCAGCCTCTAATAGAGTCACTAGCAATAAGTCATTGCAGCCCATGATTCCATTACCAGATATCAATGACGTCATGAACTGCATTCAGGTACCATTGGCTATCTATACGTCATGCCAGTACGAAGGATGCAAAATCGGATAGCGTAAATTTTTACACGCGAAAATTATACCCGTCGGCAGTTTTATCTTCGTTACTCAACAAGACACAGCGAGTGATTCGGACGTTACGTTTCGTGAAGGCATACTACAAAAACAAACAAACAACCCAATACGCGTCGCGACACCAGCAATATAAAATCGACGTTTTTCTCTCGGACCAGTTATCATGGCATCGACGTGGCAGACAATAAAACGATTCGATCTTCGCGTGCATTAAAATTTATCCTCAAAGTCCAGCTTGGCGAACGTATCGTCCGTACGAGGGGAAAGGATGTTTTTCGAATTCTCAGGACTATTAAGATCACAATGGACAGGTCCTTACGGCAGAGGTCGTCCGCTGTGTAATTGCATTGCATAATGTAAGATCGGTAATTACGAGCGTAAAGTATTTCTTAGGAACGAGAAGCGGAGAAAAAAATATATTCAGCACGATTCTCGAGAATGACACGAGAATCCATAAATCATCGATGCGCCAAGTGCTGGGCATGATATACGAGAGAGAAAATAAAGAGGAGCAGCAATAACAATCGCGATCCGACAGTGAACGTTCCCGTGCATATAGCAGCCAGTCAATGAAAATATCCGGATAACACGGCACTTTGGAATCCTTCGGCATTCCGACGGCTTCGTTGCACGCTCCTTCCTCTGATGCAAGCCTGGCTATGTAAACAATGCACCGATGCACTTGCGCAACTGCATCCGGCGCAAAGTGCCAGAGTTGCATTAACTAGTCACGTTCGATTAAGACGTACGCATAAAGTATCTCGCTGTCGCGGCTGAACGAGGCTTAATTGTCGTGTGAAGCCGGCATGAGAAAATGGATGAAAAAATATTTTTCTAAATACTACCTCCCATCTGTCACGTGTGATGCACTTACGAGCGAGCATCCACGTGCGTAAAAATAACACGGGAAAAATGATAATTTCATATTGTTATTTTTAGCGAATTATAATTTTTGAAAATTATTTTTTTCATCGGTCTCGACCAATTTTCTTAGGGCTTATATTCATGAGTACCAACTACGCGGTGACTTACCTGAGTGTAAACGAGCGGCACGCAAACGGTGTCGTAGCCGATCAGTGCGCCAAGCCTCTTCCGTATGTCGCTCAGTTCGACGAGAAGAGTCTGGACCACTTGATCGCTCGTTATCAGCGCCTCCTTTCTCGCTCGATTTATAATATTCGTCGCCCAGACCAGGGGCATCCAATATTTCGACATGGCTGCCTTCTTGTTCATCATCTCGAAGATCTTCTTCTCGGACTCCATCATCAGGCCTGAAAATGCATACGGAGGCGAATCAAGTGGCGGAAATTCACCGTTGCTAAAGGGACATAGAAACGCGGCGTAATGAGCCATGAATCGGGAGCGTGAACGGTTAACGCTCTTTAATGCTCGCAAAGTCGTGGTAATAGAAGTGAACTGTAACGTGGCGAGCAGGTCCTTACGTCTAACGGGTGAGACCAAGTTATTTTCATCCTGGGACTCATTTTAATCTTACACGACGCCGAGATGGGATCTCGTACTATTCACTGGCATGCGCAATGACGATTGTAAATCAGCGGCAATTTTGCTGCGCAAAGAGGATCCCATCATCGACAGCGGATCTTGGATGATTATTAGTGACGGCAATGAGGATCGAGTAAAGAAGTAATTATCTATACTGGCATGGCGCCATTGCGTAATGACTCCAGGAGAAATCGAATAGCTTCGTTATTCTCAGGATGGGACTGCGTCATTGAGGAATATTTCGAAAAATTTTTTTTCATTCACCGGCATTTTTTTTTGGCGTATGAAGACTGAAGAAATTTTATATTCAAAATATACGTTTTATCGTGTAAACATTTTTTTTCACTATGTTCCACATATGTTATATTTGTCTAGGGGAAAATGTCTGTGCGATCGAACATTTTTGTTCAGGTCAGAATTACAAAAAGATCCGTACTCGAGAAATTCTCTCAGAGCGATACTCGTTAACGCGTAAGATCGGTATTACCGGTACACGAGACTCATGCCCTTAATGACTCCCGAGATATTTTAATGACATAAACACGTACATGGGCAGGGCGAAAAAAAAGTTCATCAAAGTTACGACTGTACCGTGACACAGTGATTCCGATCGATTTTATCGAATAAATCGTCCTAACGGGATAAGCAACGTTTTCTTTTTCAGACCTTTTTTTTTCGTCGTACCAACATCGCAGAATCAATGGGCTACACCCGTATGGTGGACAACAACGAAAAGCTTCGTATTTCACTTGGGGCAGTTTCATACGTATAAATCTATATAAGGTCGTGTACGAGACAGCTCTTGGAATTCCCAGAGAGAACAGAACGGTAGTCCTTCTCCGTTTATGACGCCATTATCTCAAGACTGTCGAAAGTGACTATCGACTCTTAACCCTCGGGGCGTTTAAATTCGTTACTGGATGCGTTACGTATCGCGTCGCAGAATTCGCCGGGCATAGATTTGCTTGAAAAAAAAAGGTCAATTCTAAACGAGCCATCTCTCGTTGGAACCTCCGATTAATATCCCGGGGCAGCTGGTCGCCGATGCAAAATATTCCATGACTCGATCATCCGAGCGAAATCCACGACCCCCTTGGCGCCTGCACCTCGGGCCCTGAGTTGCCTGGAGCAATCAATTGTGTAACGAGAGACGAGAAACTGGATCGGTCCGTTTACATTTGCCTAGTTACGGAATTAGAGAACAACGCGACTTACGTGCCAATTTTAACGCCTAGCGGGGATTCGTGGTACTAAAAACTTATCTATGATAATTTGACCATGCACCTTGTTACGCTTCTGATTTACTGTACGTGTCGTTCTCCTGCAAAGTCGAACGACGGTGCAAGTGGACGCGTGGAATATATATTAATTTCGAATTTTTCTGCAGGCAAAGTTTAAATTTTTACTTTACAACCAAATTCATTCCGAATCATACGTTTTCTCTGTGACAATGATACTCGAACCTGTCGATCGCGGACGTAATAATTGATTTCGACAATAAATAAGACCGCGTACAGAAATGTCAAGGATCAACCAATCCTTTTGCCTGATCCTGTTAGCAGACTTAGACCACTTACGAATTACGATGACGTCATGCAGATTTAATGATAAACCACCGACTGTCCTGAATTTGCTGTTACGTCATGGGGCTACAGCAAGACCAGTCAGATCGGCAATATCGGACGATGAAATATTGTCAATAAACATACGTCAATCCTTATTGATATATAAACTCGAAAAATAGGATGTTATGTATTTTTCGTAAATTTTTTTTTTTTATATTGTTCATACTGTTTTTGTCATCAGGTTAATAAACTCATGCGTGATCATGCGTGACGCGAATACATGATGATCAAAATTTTACTTGGCTCATTTTATTTTCAATTATTTCGTCTATCGAATTTGAAATTCTCGATCGGTAACCCATCGAGGACTTCCTGCTGATAATAATTCGTAACTCGGATCAGCCACGTGTCCCCGAAGAAGATTCACGTGATTACGATTCGACCATACTGAATTCACGTGCGACAAATACGACCCTGCGGTGAATCACCCGGGAGTCTCGCGGGGGATCTTAGGAATGGCAAAAAGAAATGACCTCCGACTAGAAGGTTCTGTACGAGGAAATCGAACAAACGCATACTTAGGTTATGATACATAACGCAGGTTGGATATAAAAATAAGCCCACGTTCGATTGTAAAACGTGACGAATTTATATCTGATATAAATTACACGACGAGACCTTTGCCGTCGCGGACAACTATTTGAAATATCGAAGCCAGGCCGGCGTGTGTCGTCGGGTTTAAGAATTTTCCAATCAGACGAGCGCCTTTATACGTTTACGATCGATGCCCTAGAGATCGGCTCGTAATTATAAAAGGATTTAGCGCTATGTGACGCGGCATTGCAGGGAACGGCAAGGCAGAAGCAAAAAGCTTGGATCGCGCCGGCGCCACACTTTACCCTTCCGGGTTCGGTGCGTGGTGGAAAATATAAATAGTTCGCGATGCAGTCTCTGCTCTGCCGTCGTCGATACACGAAACGCGTGTAAAAACGTTGATAAATATTTCAGTCGATTTGTTTGATCGAAAAATTTTTAAAAATATCCTCAAGTCATGCGACGACGTAAGAGGCCAAAGAATCGTCGTCCACCAATGTGATTTCATTACCACCGTATTGTATTACTCAATGGGTCTCAAGGAGCTCTAACGAGTCGGCTAAGTGACACTAATCACGGTGACATTTGCACGCGGACTCCGTACCCACGTGGCTTTGATAAACCGAAGTCGCAATTCGCCCGATAATAGGTGCCGGTGAAATATAGAAAAGAAAAAAAAAGACAAGAAAAAAAAATCGATGAGAGCCAAAAATTATTTCCCAGTAATTTTGAGGTTATAACGAGCATAGCGTGACACCGAGCCAACCGCCACGTACCAATAGGACGTTCACCTCCTGAATGCAAGAAGATGCATCGGCAGTGCCGTTCCTTCGTGGGGAGAGAGATGCATTCCAAGGAGCGACCCAGGCCTCTGAATAGCATTGGGGTCAACAGACGCAAGGATCCTTGCCCGGCCGGCAAGGTCGCGACGAAAGTAAAAAATAAACCGCACTCGGAGAGCGACGCCACCATACGCTAAAAACATCCTTCGGTGAAAACCAGTCTCTCGTCCGGTCCCCTATAGCTGCGTGGATGTAGGTACCTGCACTTAACGAGAGAGCATAAGGATATATGGTTATGCTTAAGGAAAGTACAGGCTCGTTCGAACGTTCCAGAAGACATCCTTGCCCGACGGCTATCTTTATATCAGAGCCCCATACCGGCCTGCCTAACGTGTGAAACAACCTTTCACTGTACTAACAGGCGCATCCAATTCACGTGACTTCTTCCGCACTTCCTAATGAGTATAGAATAACACTGAGAATCCCGGACTCTTGCCAACTGTCGTTAAGAGGCGCGGTGGATGAGTATGGCGACTGCGTACGTATCCGGGGCGTCGGGACGTCGCCGGGAACCCAGCCGACTCGACGGTCTACGAGAGAAACTGCACCGATTAAGAAACATCGACGCGTAATTAAACGCTAGGAAGTTTAAATCACTCTGCATGTTCGCAACGGATGCGCGCGGAGTGTCAATGGGCCGCTGGAGAAAATTGCTACGTGGTGCGAAACTTAGCTGCGCCGAACAACGGGAATCGGTGGATCCACGACGATTTCACTATCACTCGATCGGCGATCGGTTGGACGGAAAAAAAGATGCACGCTTGAGATATTCACGGAGAGAGTAAAAGAAAATATTTTTTATTACAAAAAAAAAACAAAAAATTTCATACGAGTATAATACACAGTGACCACACTATATATCGAGTCCGTATGGTCGAAGTCATTATTAAACTATTACTCAAGTCTGTACACATCCACCGGTCTAATCGATTAACGTCCCGACCGGCATTTCTAATCGCGACCACAAATTACATCGGCGCGTTCGTAAATTACCAATCGCTGAGATACTTTCGCGCTCGATAACAAATTCCACACGTGGATCAGCAAGACCGCTGAGCTTGTGCTCGGTCTCGGTGGATGTTGGAGGCCACGTAGAAATTGCCTCGACTTCCTCGCGGAAGTTGACGGAAAGTCCTCTCTTCGAGTTTCTTACCGATCGATGATTTCCTAACCCCTTTCTTTTTCGACGTTCGATCACCCTGATTCTCGTTACCTGGTTACGGCTCATCTGCCGTTCTCTCGGCTATCGTTACCAGTGGACTTTCTCAAGGTCGTCAAGAGTCAGAAGGAATCCGATGATACGGATCGAAAATTTTCGCTGGTTGCCCAATAAATAATTACGGAGCCATTCACCTGGGACTGACCCAGAAATCTCAAAACCCCGGTTCCTCGTTCACGTGCCTTAACTGTTCTCGCGTCTTTAATCGCCATAGTCTAAGACAAAGACAGACCGACCCGGACGATCCCAATCGGGACTCCATCCCGGCAAGCGAGCATCGTCCCTCGCCCGTAAGCAGAACCGCGTTATTACTGTCTTGCGAGCCACCGCGATTATTTGGAACAATCGAAGAGAAACTCTCCGTAGGCAGGTAAGGTGGCAGGTATCCTGATGCGCGCGACAGATGATCCATATACCAAATAGACACCGAGTGTCCACGTGGCATCGTCAGCCTGTGGAAAATCCAGCATGAAGGCTCCCGAAGAAACGGGTCTAGTCGCTGAGCTCTCTCGGGAGGATGGCTCCGGTCTGAGTTCCCAGCGCCAAGAAGACGCGACCGGACGGCTCTCGGCAGCCGAGAACTATCGCCAAGTCCAGCCAATAGCCAGGTGCGCCTGTAGATAGATTACGACTCTCGTTATACCCCTGGCTATATTTAACATTACGGCCGCTACCGGGTACCCAGCTGCTTCCAGGATGTAGTCGAAGACGTATACGATGATCAATTGTCCTTGTAACTGTGATCAATTATCCTCGCGCGGTCTGATTACGTATTTCGAGTGAATGGCCAAAAAGCTTGTGCAGGGTGGTTAAAGTTTTCGTAAGGATTTCATATTGAATTCCTGGGATAATAACGTATCTCGATACGGATGCTGTGAGAAAACTCGAGCCACTCCACGTTCCGACGTCCGTAGTTATTTATCCGGCAGAAGAAATATCCCGCAGAGACGCGACTCCAGGAATAGAAGCTTCGGCTGGGAATCCGCAAGTCGTGGAAAAAGGAGCACGCTCGCGGGACTGTACGACCGGTGGAGATAAAAAAAGGACGAACAGGACTCGGACGGCGCCAGCGCTCCGCGTACATCCGCCAGTCAGCCGCGTTTCTATGCGGCCGGATGGCGATCGTTGAAAATTACAGCCGGACACGAGAAAATTGCCCTCCGGTAATCGCTGTTTACCGCGATATACCTTTCCGATCTCTCGTACGTGTAATAAACGTCTTTGAATTTTCTTCCAGAAATAGATACCGATCTTATGGTATGTGTATATATGTAGTATAATGATAATAATATGATTATATATATATATATATATATATATATATATATATATATATATATA